AGGACTCCGTACAAGGTGCGTTCCTCAAAGTCTTCCTACCAAAATGACCAAGTTGCGAAAACAAGGTCAAACAACTTCTATTCAAAGGTATAAAGACCAAGATGGTGTGGCCTTTTGTGTGGTCGCAGTCTATTCAACTTGAATGTTTATTGAAGTAAACCGGTAACTAAACAAGAAGAATACACCTTCGTTTTCCGGTGGGATCAACTATTACATTGCTTCATCACTCACTTTTACCTGAACTCAATAATTATAGACCAAAAGATTCCTCTAAACTCAACTGTGCTTCGCATAAATTTTTTAAAGCATTTTTTTGCAAATCTGTTTGCATATGAATCAATGAATCATTGTTTTTATTATATTATATTTATTTGATATTATATAAAATACTACTGTTAGTAGCATGTTTTTGTGATTTTCCAATTATAGAATGGCTTTCATACAGGCGTATCTCAACAATCATCTTGTTCTCTTGGTCAACAGCGCCCGCCATATCGTCTTCCCTCACTAACAAGCATCGGAGTAACTCCCGAATCTCGTCATACGCTTCATCCTTTACCGGCCACCTCAACTGCACTGTCCACAATCGGCAACACAAGTTTCCATTCGAGTCAGTCTAATGTATCTGGCGCCTCCATTTGCCCGACTCCTCGACGTAGTTTAAAGCGACCGGCTCCATCTGACGCTGAATGTCTTTCTCCGCCACCTCGGCCGGCTCAACCAACTGGCTCGGCACTATCAACTGGCCAGTTGCAGCCACATGTAACAGCATTTCCTGCCATTTCCGAGTCCACAGAATCTTCATCCACGCCTGCTGGCCTGCTGGACTCTCGGCTCAATTCATATTCGTCAGTGCAAATCGACTCTAGGCCCGGGCATTCCAGCAGCTCATCAGCAGAAGTCGGCCTTGCCTCGCCAGTTTCTACCAAGTCCGGAGCGATCACCAGTTCTAGCCCTCCGCTTCTGCTTCCCATCGACTCGTACTCCTCTTCATCTTACTATACCCAGCCACATCACGCCAATCCGAATTCCCATGTTCTTTTTCACCAGCAACAGCATTTACAACACCTTCATAGACTGCACCACCATCACTTGCACCATCCACTCACTCATCCACAACCAATCCATCATCCTCAACCGACGCATCCTGGACTTAGGCCATCGGTCATGAGTGACGAAACCCATCCTTCATCTTCATCTTCCTCTTCATCATCATCCTCTTCTACTTCCTCTGCTGGGCTGTCGAATTCTCCTCCTGGCCGGCCATCTCTCTCTACCCCAAGTGGGCGTATGTCCACTTCGCCATCTATGATACTCTTGGTGCCCGGACAGGCTATGTCCACGGACGGTCCAGTTCTCTCTGCTTCTTCCTCTGCCGGACATATAATGCACGTGTTCTCCAATGCCAGTGCTTCCGCCGGGAATGCGGGATCTGTCTGTGGCGTCACTGCTTCTGGGGGCGGGGCTAGTGGTAAATCGACGCCGCGACAACCAGCCAAGAAAAGGCTGGAGGCGCGTACTCCGACAATTGAGATGACACTTGATTCAGCACCTACAGGGGGAACTACCTGTCTCTCTGATGGTATGGGTACAGGACCTCGTCCCCTTTCGGCTGCTAGTATCTCTTCGGCATTCGAAGATGAGGAGCAAGAGCCAGAGGACGATCAAGAAAAGGAAGATGAAGAAGACGAAGTAATGGCAGAAGATGCTGGAAATATAAGAAATACGATAGATCGAATGGCGGATGGCAAACGGGGTAACCTGCCTGATGGTCTCTTTCCTTCCTCAGGTAAACTAAACTACACTAGGCTTAAAATAGGCTATTGAAAGATTATTAATTGTATGAAGTTTAGGAGTTTTTCCTACAATGAAATGAATGGGTCCCACAGTGCAATTGAATTGAATTTAGCCCTGCTTTATTGGAGTCATAAACGGGGCCACGATGCTCACGACTCGGTATCGAATTTCACTGAGGGTGTTAATGGTCGGAATTGCAGTCCATTCTGGATAGGATAATTTTGTAGTTGTCAAGGCCGATTGAATTGGCTGGAACTTCTTTTTGTTAGTTCGTCAGGCTGTCAGAGCGACCTAATTGAACGCATCTTGTCCGACGACTGCGATCAAAGCAGATGCCACGAAATATTTGTCTCCATCTCTAAGGCTAAGTAAAATTCAATTCTATCATGAGGACTACACATCTGATTGTGATTAGAAGCTCAACTATCTGCCATTAACTCATTTATGATGGCCTATAATGGCCAACTAAAATTTTGCTTGTAATCTTTGCATAATTTCTAAGCCGAGACTTCTTTTATTTCTATTTTTACTTACTTATTTACATCCGAATATCAAAAGTCCACAAATTTACATTCGTTCGATATATACTTTGAAATGTTTAATTTTTGTACTTGTTTGAGTGGATAGTCGTCACTTTTACAACTAATAAACATTATATAAAGTGATGCATTCATCCTGGTAACGCCTTTTTCCCCAATTAAATGAGTAGATTTCCTGCTTTAATGCTGATGAGTCCTAGGCGAATGCAATGCAGCCCCTTACTCTGACAAATGAGATTTAACATAAACTTGAGGTCTGCTCATATCATTATGGAAAAATTAAACTACTAATGATTCCTCAACTTAAACGAAATGGGCTGAATACATCTCATTTTTGTGATATACTGATAATCTCGAAAACCTACTCGTAAAACTATATAAAAACACTGAACCTTGTCTTCTTCCTCTACACAAAAGTTCAAATCGTAAACCGGGATAATTTTTACTCTTTCATTGTCTTTCCCCCTGTAATTTTACTATTTAATTTTTTTTATTTACTCCTATTCTTTTACTTTATCCCATAAAGCTCATACATCCTTGAGGGATAGCCTTTCCGTTCACCAGCCTGATTCCCTGGTATCGCTCCACGATCTGCCTCGAGGTGTCTCCGATCCAGAGGTTTTCCATTTGGAAAGGCTTCACTCGCAAATGCATATGCGCATCAGGTGCTTTGACGAACCTGATTCGACTTGTATGCAGGCAAAAAATTGTAATCAGAGCAAAGAGCGAGATATACAAGGAAATAGACGACGGAAAGTCAAGGCGGAACAAGGAGCAGATAAAGTGCTACGGGAGGATGGACACTTGGAGGCGCTAAAGAGTGAAGATGAAGAGATTGACGGGCTTAAAGAACAAGAGGAGGAAGAGGAAGAAGAAGCGGATCTGGAGCTGGCCGACATAATGCGAAGCCGAAGTTCATTGCCCGTTAACCATTCACCGGTTGCTTCTACTGTGTCTCCTGGCTGTGATACCTCTGCTGATGGGTCGACCATCAAGAATGCTTCTCTTGGCTTTATAACGACTGCAGTCAGCGGTGTAAACGGCATTAATGGTGCTCATACAGGTGGCGCATGTGCTATGACCGTCGATGTTTCTTCTGCCTCTTCCATTACTGCCTGCTCTGTTTCTGCTGCCAATTCTGTTTCCGGCAATACTGCTCTGCTCGGTGCGAACCATATTGCTTCTGAGAACAAGGAACTTTTTCATGAGACAGATGGTGGTGGGTGCCGAGAAACACCCATACTCTGGCTGCTGGAGGGTCAGCAAACCAGTGTACGACACAGCAATTTCGATTCTGCTAGCACGTCTACTGTAGATCATCGACATGGGGAACCAGTATTAAAGGTTGGGTGACATTAGATTGTAACAAGTGAAGCAGAGGCGTACTCTTTTTTTCAGTAAAAAATAATAATTTAAGTGGATTTTACCAGCCGCTTTTTATTCATTTTATTTCCTCAAGTCATCCAACCCGATTTTTCTAATTTTTTTAATAATTATATTTTATCTTAATTTTTTATATTAGCTCTAAATTCACTATTCTGAGAATAAAATTGATTCTATTTCTTCATCTTGAGAGGCTAATTTATCAAATTATCTTATCTTCTATACTCTATTTTGTCTATTTTAGCTATTTTGTTCGATTCAACTCTCTCTTGTATTTCTATATTTTATACCTTGAGCTTGTTCAATATAATTGGAACGTACTGGGATTAAATAGTACGGCGACTCTTAAACGGATTTTATTTTCTTCTTATCTTCTTTGTTTATATACATTTATTTAATTTTATTTACATGTATCTTAAACTATTTCAATCCCTTTTCATACTTTTAGGTCGCTAGGCTGACAAATGATGACCAGCTTAGTAAAGTGACTTTTGTCAAGCAGGCATCTCTGATGACTGCTAACTCTGGCCTCAGCTCTGATAACTTGGCCATTCTGCCAAATGGTACAATTGCTCTCCCCGTGCCTTGTATCTCTACCAGCTTTCCTGTTGCTGTTGCGCCTGCCATAACATCAAACTCTACTCGTTCT